CAGCGGTTCGATTCCCGGCCTGAGCTGAGCAGCCGCTGAGCTGCCAACAGGTGGCAGGATGGCTCAAAAAAAAAAAAAAAAAAAGAAAGAAAACTATGATGAAAATAAACATCACCTATGATCCTACTATTCAGTACTAATTACAGTACTATTAAGACTTTTATGTATTTCTATGCATTTATATAATGCGTAAAATTGGATTCACACCTATATACAGTCTTATAATGTGTTTTTCTGACCAAACATTTTATCAAGAATATCTTTCCTGGCCATTAAATAGTTTTAATAAATATAATATTTAATAGCCTTTGTATCAGTTATAACTTGGATTCAGTTGCCAGTAACAAAAACCTTGGGTTCAGTTGCCAGTAATAATCTTGATTATGATATACAGATTTAATACCATGAAATATGCCCATTGTAAGTGTACAATTCAATGGTTTTTAGCAGATTTTAAAGTAAAACTGTACAATTCAATCATATATATACATATACACACAAATTATCTCTTTATATAGAAAGCATATAAATATGCAGTAACATTATAGAATTGTACAAGGTGTTTTAAAACATGTATATCTTTCATTGTATGTAATCATAGTTTTATTTAAAAAATTTTTTTCTTTAAATATTTTTTTGGGAGAGGGGACACCACACTTCTCAATTAAGAGAAATATTTTGAACAGCACAGAGGTCTTTGATTTTTTTTTTTAATTATTGATTTTTATTTTATTTTTTTTTTAAGATTTTTTTAAATTGGGGAATTGGGGGATGGGAACAGCGCTGGGGAATTGGGAGAAGGGGAACAGACAAGTTGCTGTCATTTTTGTTGTTGTTGTTCTTCAGTCTAGTTGTGGAGAACGTTGCTTCACTGGCCCAAGTTGGCACCATCATTGCGCTCTTCCCAGGTGAGGCAGTCACTCGCTGGCCATTGGACAGCCGCTCAAGGCAGCTCACGCTGGCTGCCGGCTGCTCACGCTGGCTGCCAGTCACTCACGGTAGCTTACTGCAGCCCCCCCTGAAGCCTACCCCATCGCTGGCAACTCACAGCAGCCCAGCTCCAGGTCGAGCTGTTGTTCACCATCTTAGCTGTAAAGGGCACAGCATCACTGGCCCTAATGCGAGATCCGAACCGGGACCCTGCTGCTCAGAGCTGGCACTCCCAAGCCAACTCTTAACCAACGCGCCACTCGGCCGGCCCCTCAAATTGGTGAGCATCTTTACTGACGAATTCATGACAACCAATCAGGGTACTTGAAGCTGACGAATCAGAACAGTGCTATTTGGACCAATCAAACTGTGCAAATTTGGATTCCTCCTTTGCATAAAAATGGACCAGGGAGAGTAATTTATAAAAAGCAGTCTCCCCTTTGTCTTAGGGGAGCGCACTTTCTTTTTCCAAACTGTTCATCTGAGTGATACTTCTTTTACCCCACCCCAGATTGAGGACTGCTGTTGGCATTGCATTGATGGCAGTAACCTTTTGTTGACAGTAGGAAGGCCTCCTCCCCTCCCACAAGTTAAGCACTTTTTAGTGGCTAGGAAAACGACTCCTGTACATTACCTTAAGTAATGGAGGTAATTTATAGTCTGGTGGCACTACAGCCATTCCAGCTTAATATGGGTAAAGGTTTAGAACAGAGACTGATGCATATAGTAGGTCCCCTATAAATGTTAATAGGAGTGGCTACATAATTTGTGGGCTACTGTAAAATGAAAATGTTAAAAAATTAATAAGATGACAATAGTGAAGCACTAATTCAAGTTCAGGGTCGTTCTGAACATGGGGCCCCATGCAACTGCGCAGGTGGAACACCCATGAAGCCTGCCCTGAATGTTAGCAATTATTATTGTTATTCATAATGCGTTGAGAAATAATAGGAGCAAGTGAAGTAGGAATATTTACTCACTGGATTGGCTTTCTGCCTCACACACTTCCATCTTTTGTGGTTTAGATCCCAGAGCCTTGAAAAAGATGATATTGGGAGAAGTACAGAAAGTAAACATCTTTCAGCCAGCTGGGTCTTGAGCTGGGCTGTTTACTGAACTGTAAATTTACTGCTGGTGGTGGTGGTGGGGGAGGGGAGGAAGATGCACCAAGAAATTTTGGAAGACTAGGCATACCTTGCTTCACTTTATTGCCCTTCACAGATTTTTTTTTTAAATAAATTGAAGGCAAGACCCCTCCACCAACAAAATGATTGTGACTCACTGTATTGGGTTGCTTGCTTTATTGTGGTGGTCTGGAACCAAACCTGCAATATCTCCGAGTTATGCCTGTAAAACACTCCCTCACAAAACTGCTGCCCTGTGTGGTTAAGAGCACCATATTTCATTCTGAGCACAATACCAGGGCTGACAATTTTTTTGAAGACTAAATGTTAATCTCTGAAATGGTCTGTTGGCACAACACCTCTTCTTGAAGAAATTATGTTTTATTAGGACTTAATGTTAAAAAACCACTTTTCCTGGGTACTGTTATCAGAACTGCACAAGTGGGACCCAAATGCAAAATATATACCTATGAATTTCCTTGATCCTGAAACAGCTCTGTATTGATTTGTGGGCGATGGCACAGACATCACAGCTGAGTGAGTGTGCTGCTTGCTGGAGGGGGACTCACAGGGACAAATTCTGTGTGTTAAAGCTGTGGAATTAAGAGCCTGTCTCCATAAGCAGAAACAAAACCTTGAGTCAATACATCAAGATTAATTTTATTGGTACAACTGTTTAACTCAGATAATTGTCACCAATGGTGCTCAGCACTGTCTCTGTCTCCATGGGCAAACAATCAATTAGAAGCATGCTCTTTACATTTGTTTAATAAGATGTGACTTGTGTTTCCTATACACCTTCTCACTCTAATGAATAAGCAACAAGCCAAGTTCTCCAGACTGAAGAGGATTCAGTGTTCCCTTTTAGATAATCCTTGTGGGTTGGAAACTCTGGGTCACACACATATATGAGCTTGGACAATTAAGTTTGCGAACTTGTTGCAACCATGTTGCTAACCTTTTTTTGTTTGATATCAGAGGGATTATTCATTATGAATTTGTACCAACTGGACAAACAGTTAACCAAGTTTACTATTTGGAAGTGCTGAAAAGGCTGCGTGAA